TGTTATGAGCATAAAAAGGGCAGGAGGCAGTGCAGCTCGGACGTACCGTGCGGGTGCGGCTGCGAAGAGTTAGATTTGTGGTTGATAACATGTCATGTGCTTGTATGATACTATTTATGTGATTTAGTTGTCAGAACATTGATTAAAAAAATATATTTTTCCAATAGCTTTAAATGCTTGGGCAAGTGTTATATAACAAGTCAGTTTTCTGGTTCGTATTCCCACTAGTCACTTCCTTTCTTTGTTAGCCATAAGGTACTGACTAACTTAATCAGCATCCGTTGGAGAACTCACTAACTTAATCAGCATCCGTTGGAGACTATTATCTGTATTCATGAAGCTCCCGTTGTATCTGAAAATATCTTTGAACAGATAAATTGCGTCACATAAAAGATTGAAGTAACATTGTTGTGTGTGAACCAGTTTGCCTCTTCTTTACTTTGGTTACTGGCTTTAATGTTATTAATGTTGAAAGCATGCCTGCATAATTATCATCTTTCATGTAATTGTATCCAAGACTAATGCGTGATTCTACATTTTGCAGCATGGAGACCATCACCCTTGGGGATAAAAGAATTGGGATTAAGACTAGTGTTCTAGAAGAAAAGGCCACTGCTTGCAATATGCTTTGCTGCTATGCTGATGAGCTGAAAGAAGGTTTTTACCCGTGGATTGATCAGGTTAGTGGGTGTTCATTGGTATTTGGTTAATGTCTTTGATGATAGATTATAACTTTGAAGTCTCATAGCTCGTTTTGATTGGTTTAGGTTGCCCAAACGCTGGTTCCTTTGTTGAAGTTTTATTTCCATGAAGAAGTCAGGAAGGCTGCTGTTTCAGGTAATACATGATTTGCTTAGAATGTTTGTCCTTGTACAAAATATTGAAGTTGCTAATGCATATTCTGTCTGTCCACTGTCTACTTCTAGCGATGCCGGATCTATTGCGGTCTGCTAAACTGGCTGTGGAAAAAGGGATTGCTCAGGGTCGTAATGAGACATATATTAAGCAGCTGTCTGACTACATATTTCCTGCTTTAGTAGAAGCTTTACATAAGGTATTAGTTATTGTAAATATTGGACATCTGTTTTTCACATTTTGTTGTTGGTCTTAGTTGTATCTGGGGACTGATAGCTATGATTATCTTGTCATGCAGGAACCGGATACAGATATATGCGCAAATATGTTGGACGCATTGAGTGAATGTCTGCAGGTGGGTCACTTCTTTCATAAATTAGAATACACATGTGTTAACCAATATTTCCACATGGATAGCGTGGTTGCAACTTAATAGTATATCAAACACAAGATTAAGATGTGAAATTTTGCTTGTAGTTTCTATATCTGATCCTTCACGTAGGTAGCAACTTTGCTCTGCAAGTGGGCCAAAAAAATAACAATTGAAATCTATGTTGTGTTTCTTGTCCTAAAATGTTAATAAGTTGTCTTCCTGCAAATGGTATGGTAAATGTACAATGATTTGAACTTTTTTGTGCGGTGCTTTTGAAATGCTAATTATGGTTTCTATATTCCGCCACTCGGTACTTTATATTTTGAGCTTCAGATCTTCGAGTGATTAGGTTTTATAATTGATATTGAGTCTTCATTGTGAAATAGAACTGTAAGGTTGTGCTAAGGCAGAACCCAGTTTGTAGTTGGGAAAATATATAAATATGATTGCAGTAGCCTCATTTATGTGATGCAAGTTACTATCTTAAATTGTTTTAGTTTTATCTCGTCGTAATTGGAAATTTGTTCGAGTTCACTTTATCAGCTGCTGGTCCTTGATTCATCATTCACCATATAATATTTCTCTCAGATTTCTGGACCACTTCTAGATGAGAGTCAGGTTAGAAGTGTTGTGGATGAGATAAAGCTGGTTATCACAGCTAGCTCAGATAGAAAAAAAGAGAGAGCTGAAAGAGCCAAAGCTGAAGATTTTGATGCTGAGGAGGGAGAATTGCTTAAAGAGGAAAATGAGCAAGAGGAAGAAGTATTTGACCAAGTTAGTTGATTATGCGTTGATGATTTGGATTCTAATTTTAGTCAAATTCATTCAGTTGTTAAATCATGCCAAAAAGTTCCTACTGAAAGTTCTGAGTGTTTTTCTTTGGGTCTTGTTGCTTCAGGTGGGTGAGTTGTTGGGAACTTTAATCAAAACATTTAAGGCTTCCTTTCTGCCGTTCTTTGATGAACTGTCATCATACCTAATGCCTATGTGGGTGAGTCAACCTCTCTATTCCTTGTACTTATTATCTTCCCCTGTTTGTTTGCAAGGGATTGTCACGGAATTTCGATTCAGAGTACATAATGACAATTGGACAATCAGTCCATACACATTAATTTTGACACATCATGACAGAGGTTATTATTCCTGCAGGGAAAGGATAGGACAGCTGAAGAGAGAAGAATTGCAATTTGCATATTTGATGACGTAGCTGAGCAATGCCATGGAGCAGCTCTAAAGTGTGTACACATTTCACTAAACAAATACTGAATTTGGTTTCGGTCATGAAATTCTTATGTAGTTCCACCTTTTTTTTTATGTATGCTAGGTACTATGATACATATCTTCCTTTCCTATTGGAGGCATGCAATGATGAAAATCCAGATGTCCGACAGGTACGCAAAAGCACTTAATGTAGGACAGTAACCTAGTGTTAATAATCTGACTTGTGGATATCTGAATTGCCTTTGTTCCTCAGGCTGCTGTGTATGGACTAGGGGTATGTGCAGAGTATGGAGGTTCTGTATTTAAACCACTTGTTGGAGGTAAAGTTTACTTGTATTTGAACTCGTAGAATCAAATTTCTGGTTTGATATCAGTAAACTGACCTCTTTTATTTATCTTGTTCAGAGTCTCTTTCCAGGCTCAATTTTGTTATAAGGCATCCCAATGCGTTGCAGCCAGACAACGTGATGGCATACGATAATGCCGTTTCAGCTCTGGGGAAGATTTGTCAGTTTCATCGTGACAGCATTGATTCAGCTCAGGTAAATTTTCTTTTTTTTTTCTTTTTCTTTTTTGGTTCGTTTTTTGCTGTTTTAAGTGTAGAAATCCATTTTCATGTGCCATGTTGTCTTTAGGCTTCATTTGCCTAGTCCATTTTTCTTTTGCTTGTACTGTCCTTTTCAATTATCACTTTCAGTGATGGCAACTTGTTGCGGTTGAGTTATCTTAAACTTTTAATTCTCTAAATCTTTGTTTTTAACTGTCATGCTAATATTTCTTGTCTCTTCCAATAATTCGTTGATTCTAACTGCAAAAACTTACTAATAGGTGGTTCCTGCCTGGTTGAGTTGTTTGCCAATAAAGGGTGACATCATCGAAGCCAAAGTTGTTCATGACCTGCTTTGCTCAATGGTCGAGAGGTCGGGACTCGACCCAGCTTCATCTCATTTTTTTTTTCTTTTTTAAATCTATCGTCATTTCTATTTACTTGCATCCCCAATTTTACTTGCTGACCATTTCTTTTCCTTTTTTCAGTTCTGATAGGGAACTTTTGGGTCCCAACAATCAGTATCTCCCCAAAATTGTTTCCGTATTTGCTGAGGTTAGTTCTCTAAGCAAATTGATGACGTTAACAATATTCTTTTCTTACATTTGTATGACATAATATTTTTGTTACAGGTTCTGTGTTCGGGCAATGATCTAGCCTCACAGCAAACATTTAGCAGGATGGTGAATTTGTTGAGGCAGCTACAGCAGACACTACCTCCATCCACTCTGGCGTCTACATGGTCTTCCTTACAGCCTCAGCAGCAGCTTGCATTGCAATCTATCCTCTCATCATAGTTTGTGCCAATCTTTATATTTATTTGTTCCTCGTTTCTTTCGGATGAGGACTCTTTTCAGCATTTCAATTTGGAAATGGTTTATGCATCAATCAACCTGTCGTTGCGCGTTTGGTCTCGAGTGTGAATGCATTTTCACAAGTCATTTTGTCGATAGAGTTTGTATATTAAAAGATCTTTCTTGCTTTCAAAACATAATTGCTCTTTGTCCCCCTTTTTTGGTTGAGGGGGTTGGAGTTTTTTTCTTTTCTTTTTTTTCGTTTTTTTTTGGGTGAAAAGATTTCATTTGGCAATTGTGATATTTGAGGGTTGTGAGAAAGGCAAACAATGTCTGCAGTTTTGGTCAAATCATATTGTTCCTTGGATGAACATGTAAGGTAATTTTATATTTTTTATTTGTCGACTATGAGTTGGGAATAATGGTTTTCGAGTGAGAGAATATAATACATGGAGTTTAAGGTTTCATCTTTTGCCTCTAGTATATGATTTTTAAGCCTCTTTGTTTTTTTCTCAAACTAACCATAGTTGGATCTTCACTCTGCGTTGTCGATTGTTATACGAGCATGAATGTTTAATCTAATATAGTTGGTCTTTGATCTTCAAACACAAGATTCTGCTTTGTAGGTTATTATAGGAGCATGAATTTTTAATCTAATAAAATTTTTTGTTTTGTTTTTGGTGGTTTATGTTAATATAGATTCCTGTAAGAGCAGCATGCTATCAAGAAATACAATGATTCTTACAAGGTTTATGTCCAAGTGGCAGCCCCTAAGAGATTTCGAATTTTTTTAAGGAAATTAATAATTAATTTATGAGAAAATTAGGCAGGCCTTCGTGACTGCAACTAAACTATATGCCTATAGTGATTTGACCAATTGGAGAAAGAAAGAAATATTATTAATTAAGATTCAAAAAGGGTATAGATTGTCTTCATGTACAACTACATTTGACTTTAGGCTTTGTTTTTCAGTCCCATTCGTGTGTTACAAAGAGATGGCCCCCATGTATAGTACTTTCTTTACTTTGACAAAAATACGTCCGACGGTGTAAAACTACGTTCTTGTGCAATAGTATGCAAACCAGAATCTCTTGACGCAAAAACTTCAATATATTCTTTGCACACATAGTGGCCTACAATTTGTGGCATGATTCTTGAAAAGCAACTATATTCTGTCAGTTAGAGCGAATGAAAACCCGGGAACTCATGATCCAAACTTGGTATAAATATAGTATGTCACACATAAATTTAGAATGTAGAGTTATGGACAAAAACATAAAAATAAAAATATAAAATTAAAGAACGTGTTGAGCAATATAGAGAAATGGGAATAGGCACGCCTTGCAGAAAAAAAACAAATAAACATTTAAACATAATTAATTGGTCATGCTTACGACTCACAGCTTTGAAATTTCAGTCAACTCTTTACATGGAACAAACTCTCCACAAAACCAGACAAAACTAATCAAGACAAATTACCCAATACCCATCCCTTCTATAAGAAACAACTCCTCTTCTTTACTTTCTTTTTTTAAGCCTCAATAAATATTATATCATCAATCAAAACAAAAAACATGGATGATCTTCAAATCCACAATAACCCCACTCACAAACCATTAATAAACAGAGTCACACACAAGAACACCAAGTTCGTCGGCGTGAGGCAAAGACCCTCCGGCAAATGGGTTGCCGAAATCAAGAACACCACTCAGAAGATCCGCATGTGGCTCGGTACTTTCGACACCGCTGAGGAGGCTGCTCATGCCTACGACGAAGCCGCCTGCCTCCTTCGCGGCTCGTCCCGACGCACCAACTTCTCCAACGGTGCTGCCCCATGCAATCCCGCTCTCTCCTTGAAAATCCGCAACCTCCTCCACCAAAAGAGAACCCTTAACAACATTAATAAGCCCACCCCCCCTAATCCTAATCCTAATCCTAATCCTAATCCTAATCCTAATAATCAAGAAACCATTATTGCCAAGAGTGTTGTTTCTCCACCTATTAGTTCCACTAGTTCCCAATGTAGCAATGTGGTGGAGGCCGGATATCCCGTTTTCGCTCCGTACAAGCCGGATTTGAGTTGTTTCGTGGGAGGGTACGAAGTGGGGTCCACTCACTTGGATCATTATTATTGTGATCAACCTTCTGCTTATTATAATCAGGTTGATTTTGAGAAGATGGCTATTCAAGAAGATGGCTTTTTTGACGCGAAAAGAGAAGTTGAGGTCCAAAACGAAACGGGATTTACGGATTTCGAAAGGATCAAAGTCGAAAGACAGATATCAGCATCGCTCTATGCAATGAATGGTGTGAGTGAGTATTGGGACAATATCAACGAGTACTCCAATGATTCTTTTTGGGATATCACAACTTTGTGCCATATGTTCTGTCCGATTTAAAACTGTTGTTTTAACTTTTCGAGCGGATCTTATATCTATCTTCGCCAAAATCGTATTCGGGAACAAGTGATTCTCGTCTTCTTTTTTTCTTAAAAAAAATGGTTAGATAATTCATGAGAAAGTACTATTAGGGGATGATCCAATGTGCACTCATCATTAATTTAGATTTGTTTATTGGACACAATTGAGATCGAAAACAGGACCTTCTGCTTGGATTTTGGCCAGCTTATTGAAAGATGAAGTTAAACTAGAAAGCATATTCATAATTATATATGTTTTTTTTTCTTGCTTATATCAATGTGAACAAACCTAGTACAATCAATACATTGTTCGTGTACTATGTTCAACACGTACATTTGTGATCTGAATGGTGATCTGGAAACTAGTAGAAATAAGTAAGATGATTACGGACTCGTGTGTTTGTATTATCATGTATGTCAAATTTGTACGTTTTGTTTTGGCAGTTTCCGGAATTTCTTGTACGGACTGTGCCATTTCAAATATTACAACACTTTTCTGCCGTCTAGTTCTTGTTGTACTTAACATTAGCTCCAAGCGTTGGACAAGAACAATATTTAGAATTTGTTGCTGAAATATAAGTATATACTAAAAATAATAATGTGAATATTCGACTTTCTAATATGCAAGTCTTTGGCGTGTCAACTGTATAATAAGGTTAAAAGCAAGTAAATTGTTCCAAAATCAGAAAGTTTTGGATCGAAATCGGTTCACGGATTTTTTTTTTTTTTTTTATTCACCATGATATAAAATAAATATTAATGTAATTTTTGAACTTTTTTTTTTAGATTTTTTTAATTGTATTTAAATCGGAACAAAAATCAAAATCTCATATATAATTTCAAAAACTAAAAAAATAGGAAAAATCGGAAATCACAACCTTTTAAAATCAGAATGAAAAATAATGTTCCAAAAAATTGAAAGTTTTCGAATTTAAATGAGTGGAAACGAAATTTAATATATACAAAAACTTTTCAGATTATTATTTTTTTTATACATATTTGTGTTATAGTTGGACAGTTTTTTAAGAGAGATGAGAAACTCCAAACTGAAAGAAGTAGTTACATCCCAACAGAATTGTATTGACAACAGAATTCAATAAGTAGAAGAATTCCTTGTAAATTAATATGAAAAAATCTGCGGGAATAAAAACTGAATAGGTTTAATAAGTTTGTGTTTCCTTGAATACAAAGAGGAAATATTTGAATCTAATTCTGCTGCCACAACTCAGAACTCAGAACTCAGAACTCAGAATTAAGTGCTCTGCTTTCACATACATAATAATACTAACCAAATATTTGTTATGTTTTTCTTCCCTTTCAGTTTCATTTTCTCCGTAGAATTCACTACTGCTCCAGACTTCATATCCAAAGAATGAAAACAAATTAGTTTCGCTCGTTTACGTTTTCGATTTCCTCCTCTATTCAACAAGATTCGACGTCGGTTTGTGATCTTTCTTCAATATCTTTCTTGTTCTTTTTTTTCCTTTCATTGTGCGTGCGTGTGTGTGTGTGTGTGTGTGTGTGTGTGTGTGTGTGTGTGTGAGAGAGAGAGAGAGAGAGAGAGAGAGAGAGAGAGAGAGAGAGAGAGAGAGAGAGAGTAGCTAAACCTTTGAATTTTGATTGATCTTGTGTGGATGTAGCAGTTTTTGATTAGTTGCATGTGCTTTTTTCCATTTTTGCATACTCTGTTTTACTAACTCTTATTGTGTTTTGATAGGTTCATCAAACGAGCGATTGTCGAGAAAGTATACACTCTAGTTTGGAAGAATTTACGAGCAGAAAGGCACGAAAATGCCCGACGAGGAAAGAAGAAGACTCTTACATGAACAAATAGATGAGGTTAAGTATTTGAGCTCAGATCAGAAAACAACTAATTAATTTCGGCATCACTTATTTGTTCATAGAAAAACAAACGAAAAATCGATCTATTTTCTTGTATGATATTTGGACTTGGGAGGATAAGATAATAAATACTTTTCGTTTCGGTGTATATGGTTTCTTGCAAATGAATATGATTATCAAGATTTGATTATATTGAAATATCAGGTGCATTATTACATAGAGGAGTGCATCAGTAGATACATGACCAAAAATGAAACCATAGATGCAGTCTCTACTGG